TATATTGTGGGGTTAATAACATATATAGAAGTAAAAAGTATGATCACAATACCATAATAAATGGGGAGGGATGGAACTATACTGTATTATGGTTTATACATTATACCTGAAGTTGTGTATCACAGTGTGATGGTAGACTAAGATAAATTAAAGATACATATTATAAACCCCAGGGAAACAACTATAAAATAAAACAGATAGGTATAGCTAATAAGCTAAGTAAAGAGATGAAACAATACCAAACCATGCCCAATCAAAGGAAATAAGAAAGTGAGGGGAATAGAACAGGTGGACAAACAGAAAAAAATGAATTAAATATATATGAAACCAACCATATTAATTACTATATTAACAAAAATGGATTAAGCACACATATTAAAAGGCAGCAGTTATAAGTATGAATAAAAAAGCAAGACCCAACTGTATGCTATCTACAGGAAATCCATATTAACAATACAGACACACAGGCTAAAAGTAAAAAAGATAAAAAAAGTCACAGCATGCAAATCTGAATTACAGAAAGAAGCAGGAGTAACCAACTACATTAGTGTCAAGCAGGGTAGAATTTGGGTAAAGAATATTAACTAAAACTAAAGGAACATTTCATGATAAGAATCAATTCATCAAGGAGACATAAAAATTTTAAAGGAACATTAACCAAGTAATAGTGTCTCAAAAAACTGATGCAAAAACTGTCAGGTTGAAAGAGAAATAGAAAATCTGCAATTACAATTAAAAATTTCAAATCTCCTCTCTTAGTAAGTGATAAATGAAAAGAATATCAGAAAGGGTATAGAATATTTGAACAAGACTAACACCAATTTGCCCAAATTGACACTTAAAAAACATTATACCTCAAAGTGTAAGAATTGACGTTACTTTCAAGTGTGCAAGAGACAGTCACCAAAATATTAATAAATAATATTCTAGGCACAAAACAACTCTCAATATGTTTAAAAGAACTAAGTCACACAGAATATGTTTTCTGAGTACAGCATAATCAAATTAAAAACCAAAAATAGCTGATAAATTCTTAAATATTTGGAAATTAAGCCATATGTATAAATATTGCAGGTATCAAAGAAATCACAAAAAAGAGAAAATATTCTAAGTTGAACGATAAACCAAAAGGCAACAAAACATGTGATGTAGCTAAAGCAATCCTACAAGGAAATCTATTCAGTACAAAACATATATTAGAAAAAGAAAAAAGAAATCAATGATCTAAGCCTACACTTTAAAAAGCTAGAAAAAGGAAAAAGAAATAAAACTCAATATAAGTATAAAGAAATAAACAATAAAGATAAGATCAGAAAACAATGAAGTGGAAAATAAATAACAGAAAATCAATGACATTATGTAACGGCTCTTAGAAAAGTTAAAACTAAATTAATTAAGTTTTGGCTAGACTGAACGTGAAAATAACCAGAGATTGAAAGTACCAGTATCAGAAATGAAAGAGAAGAATCACTATAGATCCCACAGCAAGTAAATAGAAAATAAGGAAATACTATAAATGATTTTTTTGCCAAAAAATATGGCAGAAAAAATGGACATCTTTCCTTAAAGACACAAAGTAAAAAAAAAAAAAAAATGACAAGAGTATTAGAAAATATGAATGGTCCTATATGTATTACAGAAACTGAATTTGCAAGTAAAAATTTTCCCCATGAAGAAAACTCCAGCTGATAAAGCTTCACTAGTGAATCTTATCAAACATTTAATATAGAAATAATAGCAGGGTAATATTAGTAAGATGGTGAAATAGGATATCCCAGCCCTCATCCCCCCATAGAAACATCAATTTAACAAAGGCATACACATAAAAATACACATATGGAAAGTCCAGACTCCATTTAAGAGATTGCCATCCCCTAGACAACCATAAACCCAGGAACAGCTGCATTTAAATGGGTAAAAAGAAAAACTGGACTGTCATCTTACACCATATGCAAAAATTAACTCAAAATGATTTAATATTAATACTTAAATATAAGACAAAACTGTACCCTACATTAAAAAAGTAGATAGAAACTTTCTCTACAGTTTGGCAATGATTTCTTGGATATGACATCAAAAGCAAAGGCAACAAAATAAAAAATAGACAAGTAGGACTACATCAGACTAAAAAGGTTTTACACAACAAAGGAAAAAAATCAACAAAACAAAAAGGAATGGGAGAAAATATTTGCAAGCCATATAATAATTCTGATAAGCGGTTAATATGCAAACTATATAGAAAAATCACACATAACTCAATAAAAAGCTCATACAGCTCAAAAGTAAAATAACAACAACAATAACTGCCATATTTTATAATGGACAATGGATCCAAGTAGAAATTATTCCAGAGAAGACACAGAAATAGCTAACCAGTATATGAAAAGGTGCTCAGCATCACCAATCACCAGGAAAGTGTGAAGCAAAACTACAATGAAATATTACCTCACACCTGTTAAGATGATTATTATCAAAAAGACAAGAAGAAAATGGCGGACGAGAAAAGCTGCCAGTCAGAGTGTCTCTGCAAAAAAGACAAATTTTAGAACAAAGAGAAAAAAATAAACTAGCAGAGAAACATAGATCAGGTGAGACGCAGAAGGAAGGCTGCCCGAAACTACAGGAGACTCCATGAGAAGACGTTGCGGAGGAGAACTGGAAGGAGAAAGGTCCTCGAGAGGCTTGGAAACCAGCGACAAGGATAGGTGGAGCATATAACTTTCCCCTCCCTTGCATCTCGGACTGCTGGTGGGCTCCTGAGCGGTTGGAGAGACCTGCCGACACCAGCCCAGAGACGGCTGCCACCAGTGAGCAGTGGCCTCTTGCGGACTCAGCGCCGGGCTCCCAGACCCAAGCCTATTGGCATAGTGCTCCATTCTCTCCTTCCCCCTCCCTACCTGTGGATGACCAGAGAGAAAATTTAGCCGTCACACGGAAGCATCTCCAAGGAATGGGACCTTTCCTTTTGGGGCCCTACAGCAGACTGAGGGGTACTCAGACTGCGAGTTCCCTACCCGCCAGCCCTCCCAGGTGCTACCTGCCTGGGGACTCCAGGAGAGTGGGACAAATCCCGAGATGGAGTGAAATCGATCCAGATTGGGCACCCTGTAGGTGATTCAAGACCAGCACCCCACCCCCTGGCAGGGTCAGGGATTGATCTCCAGGGCCCAGAGGACAGGCCTCTAGACCAGACCCCTTACACCCAGGTCACGATCGCACTGCCCCAGGGCACAGAAGAGAGATCTGTGAAAGAGCCTACAGAGGAGTGTGCGCCTTCAGGGGCAGATCAGCGTGCCTGAGCGGCAACCCTCCTCCCAAAAGAGGGCTGTGCACCCAGATCAGGCTGTGACCCTGGGTAGGGAATCTCCTGGCCCACGTCACAGCCAGGGAAGATCCATCAGCCTGAGGTCACGCTTGCTGGCAGAGGCATGGGAGAGGCCATGGAGAGGGGGAGGGTGGAGGAGAGCGAGAACTGCTCCAGAGTGTGGGTCTTGGACAGCCCCACCACCCAAGCCCAGACGTTGAGCTGAGTGGAGCGATTTCAGCCCATCCCGGCAGCTTTGCATAGAAGCAAAGACCAGACCTTTGACCCCTGCTAACAGCAGTTGTGGAGCCTGAGGGCAGGCTTATTCAACCCAGCCCCACCCAGACTCACTTCCAGTCCTGTCCCCACTGAGGTGGAGAATAAGGACACAACTGGAAGTCCCAGGGCCACACCCACCACCCACCACCTGAGCACAAGAGAACCTCTCTGGAGGAACAAGAGCTAGCTACAGGACCCAAAAACAGCACTGCACCTTGCTCCTCCCTGCAAGTGCCACCTACTGACAGGGAGGTCATCCTGCACACCCTTTTACTGCATCTACTGATTTATCATAAGGGTGTG